AACTATTGACGTTTTTGGTCTCATTGTGTGCACTTTCTCTTGTCCCTGCTTTGATATGGTCTGCAATGCAGTCAAAACCAGGCGAGTTTAGATACGTGGCAGTTGAAAAAACAAAATCAAGCATGAATATCATTTCTCATGTATACACATTATTACGTTAGAAAATGATCCATTAGTTGTTGCGTGACAAACGATACACAGGAGGAAGCAGGTACATTTATTACTGTTCTTTTGTAATATTAAAACCGCAATGGTAGCGAATAGCCAATCTCTTTAAATATCCGAAATCGTATGAGAATTTACCTTGAAAACCTTTATACTGCAGTGTTGGCAGACAATTGTAGCGCATGTTTTTCGTCTACGCTGGAGGCTGAAAAGAAAATTCCGGGGCAGAAATTAGGCATGTGAAATCAGTTAGACTTGGGAGAGCCATCCTTGCAAGAAAAGATGTTGCATTCAAAAAAGATACTGAAGATATTTACGCTTTTGGTCTCATTATGTGTACTTTTTCTTGTCTCTGCTTTGATATGGTCTGCAATGCAGTCAAAACCTGGCGAGTTAAGATACGTGGCAGTTGGAAAAACAAAATCAAGCATGAATATCAGTTCTCATGAGTATGAAGACAGTAAAAGAACAGTTCCTGGAAGAGATGGGAGCAACAAAGCAAATGGATCATACAGAAGAGAAGAGATTTCCTTTTCAAAGTTTTCAACAATCAAATGCTCCAATTTACCCGCGGTGTCTCCAGATGTACCGCTTACCCAGCAGTGGATGCCTGTCATTCTCCCTTCGAACGATTCCCTAGATTATGTTTTCGCAGCATACCTCTACACCAATGATGGCAGACGACAGGTGGTTGTTACATCCATGAATTCTGAAAACCACGTACCATTTGTTTGTCAGATTTGGGCCCGATCTAAAGGGTCGGAAGGCAAAGTAACTCACCGGATTACACCCTGTTCGGGAAGAGCAATCATGACTCCTGGGTTGTGAGTACATCTTACAATATAATAACATTACAGCGAGTAAATCAATACATTGTTGAGATTAATTCTGATAACAAACGGAAAAATGTTGAAAATATAATTAGTGGCAGTGTTGTTCACAAGACTAATTTTTATCACACCCCCCCC